TCCAGAAGCTATGAAGCATGTCCTCGAACTCAGAACTCACACTTTTCACCAGACTGGCCTCGAACTGGCAGACATCCACTACCTTTGCTTTCTGAGTTCTGTTATTTAAAACATGTGCTACCACCCCAAGATACATTTCTATTTTTAGAGTGTCTTTTTGAAGTGTACTTGCATTTTAGGATGAGCTAAATATAGTGTTACTACCTATCATGCTTAAAGATTTCTCTTGAGTTATTTAAAATACTTAGGATAACAAATAAGGGGTTCCTACACTTCTGTGAAAAACTGCCTGTTCTCATGCTTTCTGAAGTTCCATGTACTGCTTTCTTTTATTCCTTTCACTTGCTATAAAGGAGCTGTGAATCAAACAATTTCACTGATTGTTGATTGCCACTCTGTTACAGAAATCAACTTTGCCCATTTCTGCCTATGCTGAATACAAAGCTTCTTGACAAGACTTGAATGTTCCACTGGTTCCTGAGGTCAGATGCCCCAGAGGCCGTGCCTTGCCAGGGGATCCAGGTTGCCATGCTCTGCTTCCAGGAAACATCTATGGAGATGCTCCACAGTATGATACACCAAGGGACTTCCCAGGCCCACCATTCCCTCCTATGCCAGGTAGGCTTTTGTAAAGGACCATGTATGTGCATCAGTATTTATCATTGCTTCCTTTCATGTTTGCTTCCTGTTAGTTTAAGAAACACAGGCCAGAACGAACCTGAGGAGGAAAGGGTTTATATGGCTCACAGGTCACTATTCAGCAAGAAAGGAAGTCAAGACTTCACCTTAATCCACCCTAGGTAATTAGAATTTAATATGTCCAGTGTTAGATCAGATAATCAATAAATTCACAAGCACATTTTCCTTGTTTTATTCCTCCAGGCAGGGTTTCTCTATAGCTTTGGAGACTTTCCCAAAAATCAGTGTGCAGACTAGACTAGCCTTGAAATCACAAATATCCATCTGTCTCTGCTTCCCAAACGCTGGGTTTACAGTCTTGAGGCACAAATGTTCTGCTACAAGCAGTTTCACCTTAAAATATTTGTGTGTTATTTGACAGAAATGTTTTGAGGCCATTATAGTAATTAATTATAGTTGTTTTTCTTAAGATATCTGACTAAAATATTTTAAATCATTTCTCCTGAGTAGTAGTTCCTACAGGATCATATTTAAAATCTAAGATCATAGTTATTAGTTGAATTCATTGAAATATTTTCCTACCATTACATTTTAAAAGAAATGTAATGTACTGCTTTTACATTATACTTTCTCCTTTGGAATCATGAGTTTCTACACAGTTAATTATGTTTTTAAGTAATATTTAAGAACCAGCTTAGTTGTCCTAGGTATCTCTCTCTCTCTCTGTCTCTCTCTGTCTCTCTCTCTCTCTCTCTCCTCTCTCTCTCTGTCCTTACCTCTGCTCTTAAACTTCTATTGGAATGGCATGAGTTTTGTTTGGGAAGTTTTAAGTTAGTCCTTGGCATTAGAGGAAATGTTTCTATTAGGATATCAGGTCAGGATCACTGATATGCATGTTAAGTTTGAAAGTTTTACTCCTTGGAAAAGCTGTTTTACAGTAAGTGTGGATTAAATTGAGATCTTTTTATCTGCCAAGTTAGGACAAACAAACCCGAAAGTGTTGTTGATGTTCTTATTATTCCTAAGTAGATAAGAAGTCCAATTTTGAATGTCAAGTTTTATATGTGAGAACGAATATTGTGATGTAAGTGTTTGGATAACAGAGTAGGGGCTAGAGTTAGTGTTTTAATAAGTGTGCAGTACAGGATTTCTTCTACCACTATCTTTTACCCATCTCTTTGAGCAGGGAGAAATGTGTATGAACCAAGTTGCTTTCCACCTTATCTTCACCCAAGAGTTGGGTTCTTTCCCCCACTCCCATATCCTCCAGAAATCATCTATGGTGATCAACGTGGCTATTTTCCTACAAGAGTCTTCCCTGGTCCACCATTTTCCCCAATGCCAGGTAAGCTTTTCTAATGGTTCTCGTGTATGTCAATGTTTATCTGTGTTTTCCTTCAAGTTTGCTTCCAGTTACTGTGTTAAAACTATCCTTAACCAACGTGAGGTTGTAAGGGTTTATATGGTTCACAGGTTATAACCCAGCCACAAGGGAGGTCAATGCTTCACCTTGATTCACCTTAGGGAATTTTGAATTTTGATTGTTTTTTGATAGGTCAGAAAAATCAGCAATTTTACCAGAGGGTTGGTTTTTTTGTTTGTTTGTTTGTTTTGTTTTGTTTTCCTCAATTCAAGGATTTCCTATCACTTTGGAGCCTGTGTTGGAACTCTATCTGCATACTAGTTTAGTCTGCTTACCTTCCAAATTAGTAGAAACACACCTGAAACTGATGGTGAAGTTACTATTTTTCCTACCTAGGTGAGAAGTATTTATTTGAGAGTTGAAATATGTTGGTGTTAGTGTGTGGATATCAGGATATGGGCTTGACTTAGTGGTTGAACAAGTGTGTAGTATGTGGTTTCGACTTGCATTGTCCTTTACCCATCTCTTTCAACAGGGAGAAATGCATATGAACCATGGGGATTTATACCTTACCTTCCTACAAGAGCTAGGTTCTTCCCCCCACCACTGTATCCTCCAGAAATTCTCTATGGAGATCCAAGACATTGCATGCCACCATGGGATTTTGCAAACCCACCTTTTCATCCATTTCCAGGTAGGCTTATGAAAGTCCACATATGACTCAATATTTATCAGCTTTTGTTCAAGTTTGGTTACTATTACTGTGAGAAACACAGGCCAGAACAATCTTCGGGAGAATAGTGTTTATATAGCTCACATTTTACAGTCCAGCAAAAAAGAGTTCAAGGCTTCACCTTGATCCACCTTAGGGAATTTTGAATTTTACTCTAGTATGACAGATCTGAAAATCAGTAATTTCTCCACCAGATTTAACTTTTAGAATTTTTTTTTCCAATGCAGAGTTTCTCTATAACTTTGGTGCCTTTCCTTGAACTCTCTCTGTATGCTAGGCTTATATTAAACTCATAGTGATCCACATGTTTCTGCATGCAAGTTACAGGGATTAAAGTCCTGTGCTAGCAGTGCCCAGCTTCAAGCAGTATTTAGGTTCAAATTATGAGTATTTCATTTTATACAAATGTATAAGTGTAAGGAGTAAAGTTTTTCTTCCTGCTGCTGATCTGTGCTGCCACTGAGCCAGCCCCAATTAACACACAGAGACTCTGTATTTGATATAATGTAATTGGCCTGGTTCTAGTTTCTTATCAGCTAGCTCTGTCTTAAGTAGTAACCCATTTATGCTGATCTATGTATTTTCACGTGGTATAACCGAGAGCGGAGGAAAGGAGGTTATGTTCTCTCTCCACTCTCCATCTTGACTCCCCCTTTCTATTTCATCTTTCCTTCTTGTCTCCTAGTCCCTCCTATCTTCCTTTCCTATTGGCCAACAGTGCTTTATTCATTAACCAGTATGAGAAACATATTTACAGAATCGCATCTCCCATCATATAAAGGCCATTGCTTAAAGTAATTACTTATATTTTTGTCTTAAGATTACTGACAAAGGTGTTTTAAAGTATTTTACTAAGTACTAGTTCCAACATGATCACATTTAATATTTAAGATCCTATTATTTGTTGAATTCCTGAAATTCCTTCCTACACTTACATTTTAAATTAAAAGCGGTTTGTTTATTTTACAGTATAATATCCCTTAAAGCATCACACATTTCTAAACAGTAAATCATGTTTTCAAGTAGCAAACAAGATGCAGCTCAGTTGACCTAGGTGTCTGCCCTCTACACTGTCTTCTTGTTTTAAGCTTCTAGGAGAATGAAATGAGTTTTGTTTGGGAAGTTTTAAGTCTTTTGCTGGAGAAAAGTGGATCAGTGGTTAAGACTGGCTCCTACATCAGAACACAGTACTTGAGCTTTGTCCCCAGCATCCACAAAGAGCTTCACTGCAAGGCACTTCTCCTTCCAGGGCTGATTTCATTCCCTTTTAGCAGCTCTTCTTGGCAGATACCCATTGACTCTGGCATTTCTGAAATCTTATTTATTTCTGTGTATCTCATGCATGCCTGATACCTGATAAGGTCAGAGCAGGGCACTTGAGCCTTTGGTAACAGAGTTCAAGACTTTTGTGAAGGGCAGTGTGCTTGCTGGGATATAAGCACAGTCCTATGGAAGAGCAACCGTGACCCTTATTCCTGAAGCCATCTTTCCCACCCTTTATTGTTATGTCATATTTCAGGCATGTAATCTAATGTATGTTTTTGAAGTTAGTTTTGACCCTTATTAAGGGTTGCCTGTGTCTGTACATAATAGAAATTTTATTGTGTTTCATACCAATCATCTCATTGTTTTTAGTCCATTTACATTTATCATATTAACCAGTAAGTAAATTAGGCAGGTAAATGTCAATGGATATGTAAAAGAATACCAGAAATATAATTTGGGAAATTGTTCTTAATGCATGATCTCATTTAATCATTTAGTATTTAGTAGATTGAATCTGTAAGGACCTATTCAACTATCTCACTACCCAATGAAGGTGAGAAAGGTGTGTATCTATTGTAGGTACTAAACTAGCTAACATTAAGAAAGAATAAAATTCAGAAATTTAAATGTTCATTGTGTATTTGTTGAGTTATTTATTAGGGAAATTTTTACATTATAGTATATTCTATATGCTTAGGGCAAGGTTGGCACAGGTAGAAGGATGGAACTGGGTGGTGCATCCTGAGTTGTTTCCTTAGGCTGGCAGGGCTGAATAGGTCAACATCACCCTGCAAAAGGATATCTGTGCTGTTTAAATTTCTCCTAGTCTGAGGCTGCTTTTGGCACCCTAATGAAGAATATTATTGTATTTAGGTCACGTTGTTCTCTGTCCCAGCAAGGGGAGTGGAATATATCAGGGTCATTTGCATCTGTTAATGGTCTGGGAATAAAATTAGTACTCATGTAGTTTTGTTTTGGGGGGCTGTAATTTTTGTCTAGATGGGCCAGTACCTTCCACTTTGGAATCCGGAAAGCGTGCCACCAAACATGATACTAGGGTAAGTATTGGAAATTGAATTCTACCTGTGGATCTACAACTAGTTTCTTGGTTTTATTAGAACAAGGATTGAGCTCTTCTACTTTGTTATATTAATAAAATGCACTTGCACTTAACATTAACACATTCATTATTGGTTTGTAACTTTCTGTGAAATAGTACGGAACACAAGGCAGGTTTTGATGGCCCATCCTATCATTTTGGCAGGCTGAGGCCAAGCATGGTAATTTGAAAGCCAATGTGGACAATATGACTATATGAACTAGCATTTGTCTCAAAAAAAATATAAGCTTTAGAAATGACATACACTTTAAGAACACTGGTGGCTCTCCTACATTACCTGGATTTGATTCCTAGCACCTGAGTGTGGGCTCACCACCCTTCTTAACTCCATTTTAAGAGATATGAAATCATACTCTATCCTTCCAGAATATTGAATGTATAGAGTATGCAGATATGCATGCAGAAAAAAAAACACATTCCAGTGAGATGAAAAAGTATTAAAATAAACAATCTCCCACTTTACAAAGTACAACTTTTAGATGAACTTCCAAGCTTTTTTATGTACTATACACTATTTCAGATTTCCTTCCTTAAAATCTTAATAATTATGTATTTTCTTTACAAATATAGCATTGATTTTGATCATTTTGATAATATTGATTTCAACCTTTTTCTTATGTTTTGTGTTTGATAAAGGAGTCTATTTTTTTCCTGGAGTTAGGGTTTCCCATTAGATATGTTGCAAGTCTGGGAACTCACTGTATTTAAAAAGGACAGAGATACAATCCCCCACTACTGAATTTCTTGGATTAAAGGCATGTGCCCTCTCTTCCTGATGTATTTATATCTTAAAAAGTGTAGTTTTTTCATGTAGCTGAACTGTGTTTTTGTTTTAGGGTGAGCTAGGTAGATTGTTACTAATATGCTTGAAGATTTCTGTTTAATTAGTAAAACTAAGTAGGATATCAAATAAGCTGATCCTACACACATGTGGGAAACTCAGACTGTTCCCAGACTTGCTGGAATGTCATGGACTTCCTTTTCTTTGCCTGGCACTCCCAGTAAAGGAGCTGTGTCAAGCCACTTCACTGACTGTTGATGTGGATTATCATTCTGTTACAGAAGGAAACGTTGCCCACCACTAGACCTCCTGCAAACAATGCAGCTGGTCATGGGTTGACTCCTCTACCTGTTCCCGGGCTTAGAGTCCCTAGAGGCTCTAGAGGTCCCAGAGGCCCTGCCTCTCAATATGATCGAAGAGGCTGGATCCCACCACCTCCTCCTCCAGGAAACATCTGTAGAGGTCCTGGACAGTATGTCCCACAAAAGAAATTTGCAGGCCCACCGTTTCCTCCAATGTCAGGTAGGCTTATCTAAAAGTCTCTGTATATGTCCATTTTTATCTATTCTTTCCTTCAAGTTTGATTCCTGTTACTGTGAGAAACACAGGCCAGAACCAACTTAAGGAGGAAAAAATTGCATGGGATCACGGGTTACATTTCAGCAGCAAAGGATTTAAAGGCTTCAACTTAATCCATCTTATAGAATGTTGAATTTCAACTGTGTTATGATAAGCCAGAAGATCAGTAAAATTACAAGCTGTTTTTTGTTTATTTGCTTGTTTTTGTTGTTTTTTTCCTCCACATTGCAGGGTTTCTCTAGCTTTGGAGCCTGTCCTGGGACATTCTCTGTAGATGAGGCTTCCCTTGAGTAATGGAGATCCACCTGTCTCTGCTTCCCCTGTACTGGGATTAAATTCAAGTTTCAAACATACCCAGAAGCAAATAGTATTAGGATTAAAACTATGTGTGTTTCATTTGTTAGTAGCGAATTGAGGCAATTATTTCAAATAATTATTAAATATGGACTTACAATTATGGACTAAAGTGTTTCACAGTATTACCTCTAAGCAATAGTTTTCACATGATCGTGTTTAAAATCCAAAATCAGTTTATTATTTGGTGAATTCATGAAATTCCTTCATACACTTACATTTTAAAATACATGTAATTAGTTGCTTTTACAGCATAATTACCCCTTTGACATCATGTGTTTGTACACAATAAATCATGTTTTCAAGTACTAGAAAAGAACAAGCTCACTTGTGCTTGGTGACTTTTCCCTGCCATGGCCTCTAGTCTTAAGCTCCTTGGAGAACGATATGTGTTTTTGGAGTGAATTTATTCCACTGGCATTATAGGAAATTTCTCTTGTCGAATGTCAGGACGATATTATCATGGGACTGTTAAGTGTGAACGTTTTACTGTATTGAAATCTATTTTAAAATAGGCCTTCAGCATATTGAGATCTGGCATAGCTGCAAGATCGGACAAATACAACTGAAATCATTGGTGATGTTCTTACTTATTAATCATATGTAGCAAATAAGTCCATTTTTCAATGTAAAGATTTGTTTGTAAGATCAAGTATTATATGAGTGTTGACATATTACCACAGGGGCTGGAGCTATTGGTTTAATAAGTGTAAGGTATAGGGTTTTACTTTCCGATGACCTAGACACATCTCTTGAAATTGAGAAAAGTGCATGAACCTATGGGCTTTCAAAGTTTCCTCAACAAAAGTGCTGCATCTTCCCAAACCCCCACATCCTGAGTGTAGAAATGATCTCCCTCCAGAATCGATTCCACTTTCCCAACATGCACATGAAACTCCATCCTACACCAGGAACCTCCAGAAACACAAGGAGACCTGGCAATTTCCATGGCAATAATTTATTGTCATTTGCACTCTGACAACTGATGTTCCTTCTGTGACTCTGTTGTGGTTCAGAAGGAAGCTTAATACAATTAAATTTCAGAATAGTATTTTGGAAAGAAGGATAATTTAAATACTATCTTATGAGTCAGTTATTTCCATTTATTTCACTATGGATAGTAAAATTTACATTGATTACTACCTCTTATGTGATGAAGGGAGTTAGGCATACAGTCTTAGTAATGAGGATACCTTAAACTCTACCCTCTGTGTCCTTACACCAGAAATGCATAGAACATCTGGTTGTAGACAATTGTAAACGTAAGTGTAGCTACAATCAATCAAATTTTAATTGAAGTAAATTCTTATTTTACAGTGTTAATATTAAAACCAGCTTGTGTCCCATAAACATGGTTCCATAAATGAGTACTTTTTACTCTGTAGTTCCAGAGGGAAGGGTCTGAGCTGGATAAATGGTGGATCAGTGGTTAATACTGGCTCCTCCAGCAGAACTGAGGACTTGGGCTTTGTTCCCAGGATCCACATATAGCTACAGTGCAAGGCAATTCTCTCTGTTGGGCTGGTAGTACTCCCTGTTAGTAGCATATCTTGGCAGATATACCATGATTGTGGCATCCCCACTATCTTCTTTCTATGTATCACATTCATGTGTAATGTATGAGAAGGCCAGAAGTGGGCATCAGAGCCCCTGGAAGTGCTGTTACAGATTGTTGTGAGCTGTTGTGTTGTTGCTGGGAATTAAACACAGGTCCTAAGGAAATGCAGCCTGTATCCTTAAACACTGAACCCATTTATCCACAACTTTCATGTTGATAGGAGTGCCATCTAATGTGTGTGTGAAAGGGTAATTGTGGTGACATAGTAATGGTTTCCTATATTTGGCCATAGTACAAACTGTCCTTTGCTCCCTAGGTATCATCTCATTGGTCTCTATTTGCAGATGATATGATAGTTTACATAAACGACACAATAAACTCTACCATGGAAGTCCTACAGCTGATAAACACTTTCATCAAACTAGCAGGATACAAGATAAACTCAAAAAAAGTCAGTAGCCCTACAATTTTCAGACGACAACAAGATAGAGAAAGATATCAGAGAAAAATCACCCTTTACATTAGCCACAAGCAACTTCAAATATCTTGGGGTAACATTTACCAAACAAGTGAAAGACCTATATAATGTCTTGGTCGCTCAAAACAAAGAAATTAAAGATAACAGAAAATGGAAAGATCTCCAATGCTCTTAGATAGGTAGGATAAACATAGTAAATATGGCACCTACAGATTCAATGCGATCCCAATGAAAATCCCACCACAATTCTTCACTGACCTTGAAAGGATAATAATCAACTTTATATGGAATACAAAATACCCAGGATAGCCAAAACAACCCTATAAAATAAAAGAACTTCAGGAAGCATCACCATTCCTGACTTTAAGCTCTACTACAGAATTATAGTTCTGAAAAAAGCCTGGTATTGGCATAAAATAGACAGGTAGACTATGGAATCTAATTGAAAATCCTCATATTAAACCACATACTATGAACACCTGATTTTTGACAAAACAGCAAAAATTATACAATGGGGAAAGGACAGCATCTTCAACAAATGATGCTGACACAATTGGATGAGGGTGTGTAGAAGAATGCGGATAGACCCATGTCTGTTGCCATGCACAAAACTAAAGTCCAGATGGATCAATGTCCTCAACATCAATCCAGCCACAATGAACCTCTTAGAAGCGAAAGTAGGAGGTACCCTTGAACAAATTGGTATAGGAGACAGCTTCATGAACATAACTCCAGGGGCACAGACACTGAGACAAACAACTAATACATGGGACCTCTTCAAACTTTCTGTAAAGCAAAGGACACAGTGGACAAGACCAAATGGAAGCCCACAGAATGGGAAAGATGTTCACCAATCCTATATCCAACTAAGGGCTGATCTCCAAAATATACAAACAACTCAAGAAAATAGTCAACAAAACACCAAATAAGCCTATTAAAAAATGGGTTAGATAAATGAAGAAAGAATTCTCAATAGGGGAAATCAAAAAGGCTGAACGACACTTAAGAAAATGCTCCACATCCTTAGCCATCAGGGAAATGCAAATCAAAACAACTTTGAGATACCATCTTACTCTTGCCAGAATGGCTAAAATTAGAAACACAAGTGATGACTCATGTTGGAGAGGTTGTGGAGAAATGGGAACACTCCTCCACTGCTGGTGGGAACACAAAATCATACAGCCATTTTGGAGATCAGTATGGCAGTTCCTCAGGAAAATGGGAATTAGTTTACCACAGGACACGGCAATCCACCTCTTAGACATATACCCAAATGATCCACGTCCATGCACAAAAGACATCTGTTCAACAATGTTCTTGGCAGCACTATTTGTAATAGCAAAAACCTGGAATCAACCTAGATATCCCTCAATTGAAGAATGAATAATGAAGATGTGGCACATCTACACAATGGAATACTACTCTGCAGAAAAAATTAATGGTATCTTGAAATTCGCAGGCAAGTGGATGGCACTTGAAAAAAACCATCCTGAATGAGGTAACCCTGTCACAAAAAGAGGAACGAAGTATGTACTCACTCATATATGGATGTTAGACCTAGATCAGTGGATCACCAGCCTATAATTCATACCACCAGAGGAACTAGTATACAAGGTATATTCTAAGAGATTCATGTAAAGTCCCTCAAAGAACCAGGAAGGGATGAATCCCCCTGTGCTCTGGGAAGCTAATGGAGAGAGAAGTAAGAGAAAATGTGGGAGAGGAAAGAAAAACACGTGCGACCAGGAAGATTGAGCCCAGTTAGGAATAGAAGACAAGAGAGAGAAAGAGAGAGAGAGAGAGAGACATAGAGAGAGAAAGAGGGAGAACACAAAAGAGGGAGCCAATATTGGTTTGAAGATAAAATTGAACATAAAGAAATGTCTAGAGAACTACAAGACTGCCACCAACTAACATATTGAGCTTCCGTGGAAAGGCTACCCTGAATGCCCATCCCAGAGATTGAGGTCGACAACTAACTTTTCTATGGAAACCTCATCTAATGTCTGTTGGAAACAGGAGCAAATACTCATACATACACTGAGTAGAACTAGAACCCAGATGGAGATGGAAAGGACAAGGCCAGGCTGCAGAAACACACAGAGACAGCTTACCTGAGCAAGGAGGTGCTAACAGGCCCTCAGATTGATAGCTGGTAAGCCATCATGGGACTGACTCAGGTCTCACTGAATATGAGTCTCTGCCAGAAAGACTGAACAGTCTAAGGGACCTCAGACAGTGGAGCCAGGATGTATCTCTGGTGCACAAAAGGACCTTGTGAACACATCCCCCTTGGAGGGATAACTGCCTTAACCTAGAGACAGGAGAGAAGCCCTAGTTCCTACTTCATATGACCTGTCAGATCTACATGACCCTAACTGGATGGCATCACACTACATATGGTATTGGTGTGTGGGGATGGGAGGGGAGGGTGGTTTGGTGCAGGTGAGAGGGCAGAGAAGGTAAAAGTGAGGGAGGAAGGGAGGGATTGAAGGAGGGAGAGAAGAAGTGAGGGAAGGAGGAAGGAAGTGAGGGAAGGAAGGAGGGAGAGAG